TTTTTACTGCTTTGATCTGCTGGGCTGCTAAAAAATAGGATTTTTTTCTGTTTTTCTTTATTCATGTTCTTGTTCGTTTGTTTATTCCTCCGCGTGAACACGGAGATGCCGTGACAACGGTAGTAACATATATGCGTGTATGTATGTATTTTATGTTTCGTATTTATTTATGTATATATGCATGTATGTATATCGCGGTAGGACCTTAATTCGTATATACAAATTACGATTCATCTCTTTAATGCTGCGGTACAATTAGTTTTTTTTCCTTGTTCGATAAACTGAATCGATAAACCTTTCATATCAAATGTATGTACTGCGTTAAATATATATTATATACAAGCTCCTCAGTCTTGTGCGAAGTGTAAGACGATTTTAGGTTCTAGCCACTTCTGGGTGAAACTAATTGTGTCTGTAACCCGTTTTCTTCTTGTTTTTTTTCTTTCCTTCTGCGTCGAGATAAAATAGTCGCAGACGATCAAAATCTCTCGTCTGCTATGGCGGGATACGAAATATTCGTCGTTGTAAAATGTATAAATGGTAAAACGATTTATTGCCTGTGTGCTGGCAGTTTCCCGTGAACTTCGTCTCGTTTCGCAGCTGTTCGATCGCGAAACGGAAAAGGAGAAACGAACAGAAAGAAAGAAGACGCTGACAGGTAAGTACACCCAACCCTTTGCGAATGAGAATACTTGGAACTTCTGAAAACCTTTCATACAAAGGACTGAATTATTCATCGAAGTGTTATACATTAAAAGAGAAAAAAGTCACGTATCAAAACCTCGTTGTTTGAATAAGTAATACTTGAACTATTATAGTTTCTATTATTTCAATTCATAGCTACTGTAATCTTCTTATAAAAATGATATAACTGCATTTATTGTGATAGCGATCGATTTATATTTTTAGTTTACTATTTGCTGAATCAATGTACTGAATACTTTCTCATAAAATGATCTTTATCTTCTCACTAATTATAAAAGAAGAAAATGGATCATTGCAACTCATTTAGTAGGTCCAGTATTAAATTATTCATTTGCAGCGTTCGCTTTTAGACACCGAAGTTCGAAGACGCCACTGCAACGGCACTCATTCACAAAGGGTTAAGACGAAAAAAAAAGAAACCAAAAATCGTGGATCCTCTTAAGATCTTTTATGACTTTGGAGTTCGTGATTCTCTTAATGTACCAGTACCAATGATACCTCTAACGCCTAATTTCATTACTTATATCGTAAAAGTCTCGTGTATGTACCTATATAACTTAGAGTAAAAAAGAACGCTCAGCTGTTGGTCGCCATGATTACGCGGACACATCAATCGGCCAGCGCATCGGTGAGAAGGCAATACATCTCGTAAACCATGGGATAAAAATTATTCAAACGAAACTAGTGAAATTAGTAGCGTAATTATATTGTAAATAATACTATTCGCAGTATGGAGCCGATTAGATACTATCCCTTTTCTCTTATATATTTATACATATATATGTATATTTATATTGTATCTATATGTATATGTATATATAAATGAAAAAGAAAAAGGTTCAACTGTTACCATTATGAATCTCCCGAAATATGAGTATTATTGTACAAGTTGGAACTCCGTATGCCGTTTCACGTGCGTGCAGTTCTTGCACATACAAACTACGAGTTAATCCTTTATTTGACGCTTCTCACCTCGTGGTGACACGCGCACAGAAAGCGTTAATACTTCTCTGGGCCGCCTATCTTACTATACAATACTGCGCCTAGCAAGCAACCTCGCAAAATTCTCAACGAAAACACTGCTAAAACAAGGTACACCGTCTATCAAATAAAGGATTAAAGGTAGGTCGCTGTCATGGGTACAATGTAGTCATCGACAATTCATTCGCGTGTCAACTGTCGCGTTCTAAGAAATTTTCAATCGTTTCAATTATTCGTGACGCAACGCTGAACACCGAGTTCTTTTCCTAGTCGATCGAGAGAAAACGATCGATTTGACTTTCGGTTCAAGCTGTCCAATAACCTAATTTTACACTCGGAAAAACGGAAATTGTACTTAACGAAATTGGACAGGATATTTTTTCGCTTCCTGTCACGCTATTTTTGTACGAATAACGTCAACACATTGTTGCCGAGCCCTGTCATCGGTCAACGTTCGAATGAAAATCACAATGGCGGTGAGACTCACGGCGAACGATTTTTATGTTGCGTCACGGGAAAAACGGTCGTATCTCGCTCGCTTCGTGTGCTTTTTTATCGATTAATTCTACTGGTTTATGTCGTCACCTATGTCGATACGATCCCATTGCTACTATCTAACCAATATTAATTAGGGCTACGTTACTATGTACAGAAAACGCATTGCATTGGCACAGCAAATATGCGCACCTGGACTAACATCCGTCATTCCGCCGCGTATAGCACTTACTTACATACAATTTACCGTTCCACTGATGCCTATATTTTCGGAAACCGATGTTATTGAACGATAATAATTATATATTATTAAATCACATATTATTGAACATTAGGCTATATTTTGCCAGGTGTTTGAAATGAATCGATCGTTTCTGCTTGTGCCATTTCGTTTAATATTGTAGCCGAAGTTACGCGGTACTGAGAACCTTGAAAATTTCGATACACTTGAAATTATTTTCTACTTTAGTTTCTATATACCTTTGTTGGTAAATTTTCATATAACTCTCGTGTATTGTCTAAATGATGAAATAGCGATCACCTTTATTTTAAAAATGTGCATCACAATAATTTTTAAGTTTCTCTAGAAAGCAATTGAATTAAATTTTAAGTTCCATGTATCAATATCTTGTTGCATTCATTTGTCTTATCGTTAAGTTCAGTATGCACTAATGAACACATTGCGTGCCAAGAAGACTTCGTAAATATTACGATTGTGGCTAAGTCTTTTTAAATCGTGTCTTGATATACAAATTGATCTTCTTGAAGAATTTTATTAGTATGTATTCACATTTGTATGAAGTAACCCTTCAAAAACAGCGTTTCCTTCTATTTGACGAAGAAGTTGTGCTACTTCAATGTGTATTATTATAAAAACAAGATAATTAAAAATTATAATATTTACGAAATCCTAACTATCATTTCCTGATCCGTTTAAAGAAATAAAATACAAATGCAAAAGGAAAATAAATTTAGAAATTCAAAATATACTACTAACTTAAATGTCAACAAATTTTATCCAAATCATTTCAAATGAAGAAACTTTTGATGAAATTTTTATTTTTAGTTTCCATCGATCTAAAGGAGTAACTTATAATGGAACCAAATTTTTTCCATTACGTATATAAACAATTTTCGTATGCATTCAGTATCACTGTCATAATTAATAAATTAATGTCAACTTACTGTATCTGCCACACAGATGAATATCGTGGACTCGAAGGAAATTCTGCTGTCAATCAAAAAAGAATGACACGGCACGCAATGTGTTAAAAACTCGAGCTGAAGGAATTTTCTCATCAAAATTTTCTTTCGATAAAATTTAACATCTTAAAATGTGTCTTTCATTGAATTTTCAAAAAACTTCCAAAAGCGATTATTTTCATTCTATTCGAGTAAAATAAGACTAATGATGTGTTTCGTTCTGAAAAAGAATTACGT